AAAGTGAAAAAGCTGAACAGTTTTGAGAATAATTTTACCATTTTTACAAAATTTTTGTATTACTTAGAAGAAGTTCAGATCTTTTATTTTGCTTCATAATAGATCACTTTATAAGATCTTTTTTTTGCATTAATTCCGCAGTATGACTTTCAGTCTACTACTTTTGTTTTGTGCTTTTTTTAAACTCGTGCTGTCCACGAGCATATTCAAGATTGCAAGTGCTAATTTTAATATTCAATGAGCTAACTCTAAGATTTGGCAGATAAAAGTTCTTTTCAGTCTTCACTTATTCATTCAAACATACTTCAACTTTTTACTCATTTTAATACAAACTATTTATTTATTCTTCAAGTTAAATATTTGAAATAGTAAGCTTAATACTTAACTTTATTATCAAATTTAAAAACTTGAGTAGTCAAATTTAGGACTAGATTAATCGAACAATAACAAAAGCATTATGTAAAGAATATAATTCAAAATCACTCTGCAACAATTATCACTTTTGATAATCAACCACATTTATCTCATGTATATAGCAGACTTACTACTTTCAGTTACTTCGAAAAATAAATTTGAAGGAACTTAAAATTATTTATCAAATCTGTTTATCTGTCTATCTGTTTCTGTTGCAATTTGCATCCTGTGCTTTGCAAGAAAAGCTCAAGTAAATTAATTAGGTAAATAACAAAGAATTGAAATTTTAAATAGTAGATGGAAATGTAGCATTTGTTCAAGAATCCATCAGAAGTATATCCCTGCATGGAAGACAAATTAATTTTATATGAGCATTTATCAAAAACTTGGAAATCACTCAAAAACATTTATGAATAAATATCAAAACGGACTAATTTCTGTTACTTTTAAAATGCATTGTTAGTATTTTAGTAATTTAGTAATTTAATTTTCTTGTTGTTATTTTTGATGGATAATTTGTAAAAGAAATTAATTAAAAATATTTCAAAAGCTTTTCTCTCTTTTTTTGCAATTTTTTCAGAGTAAATTTAGAAAAAAGTTCAAAAATGACAGTAGCAATTTTGAAAACAATTTTTTTTCAAATTTTTCACCTAACATTGAGAAAATTTAAAAAAAAACGGAACAGCTTATTATTGAGCAAATAATTACACTACAAAAGTAAAGTAGCAGTGTTATACTTATTCTTTAACAATATTTTAAAAATTAGGAAAAAACTTATAAATATATTCCATAGTTTGTAGAAATCTTTAAAAATTGAAATTTAATTTTGGTCAAAATTAAAAAAGTAATTAAAATTAATAACAAATTAAAAATCCAAAATGAAATAAGTAATTTGGTAAGCAATTATTTCACTTTTATATATTTTATAGTTTGGATTGTAAAAAGAAAATTTGATAAAATAAATTTTTTCTATTGGCATAATTTGAAAAATTATCAAACAAATTAGCATTTGAATGTAAAAAAAGCACCAAATTAATGCTAATACTTTAAAGATCTAATAAAAATTATTGAAATAATAGCATGAAATGCAAAATATAGCAATTAAAGGCAAAAAAAGACAAAGAAAAACGAATAATATTTGTATTAAAGTTTTGAATTTATTTTTTTGTTAAATTCATCGAGCAAAAGCTAGAAGAAAAATTAGTACTGACCGAAATTATTCATACAAAGGCATACAATAGAAAATAAATTGATGTAAAAAGCAAAACAAATTATGAATTTATAAATTGTTGAAAAATTATTTTCATAAAAGTTAATAAATATATATACGCAAAGAATATGCATAAGAAAATAAACATTTATTGCTAAAATGTTTTTGCGTAGAAAAAAATAAACTAACTCAAAAAGAAAATCTCAACTTGAAATGAATGCTAGGATTTATAATTATAATTATATGGAAAAGTTCACTTAAAAAGTTGCCCTCAAACACGTAAATAAATGCCTTCTATGGACAGAACTAAAAGTTCAAAGCGTAGAAGCAATTATTTACAACAAAGTAATAACAACAACATTCTATAAATAGCAATGCTTGCAATTTTCTAATTTTATACAAATGTCAGTAATTGTTATTCAGTTATGTCTTTTTTGATTTAATAATACTGCTCCAATAGCACCAATAAGATATTAATAATTTTGCCAAGCCAAAATTTGCATATTATCAAATGTATTAAATTAAACGATATAAGTAAATAAGATAATTTCCATCTCCCTTACTGCTAAAAACACATGACATATAAAATATTCATTAATACAACATACTGCAGTGATATCTTGCAAGAGTGGTAAAGCAAAAGTATTACAAATATTAGCGAAATATAGTACCACGCATGGATTTGATAGGATACTTAATTATTACTATCAGCACAAATTTTAATTATTCCAGTGAATTAAATACTAAAAATTATTTTGCATTTAATTGATTTCTGCATAATCACTTTTTTTAAATTTCATTGCAACGCAATTTAAGCACAGTATTTGATTACAAAAGGAAGCTCAATAACTGATGAAGCTTCTAAACTTCAGCTTGGTGTCGAAGCCGGTAAATACACATTTGAAATCATCAAAATATAGCAGTTGTCCACTGAATGTTTCAAATATAGACAGATTTTCAGTAATTTTACTAATTAAATAGTCAATTAGCCATTAATTGTGTTGGTTATCATTCACGAGGAATAAGAAATTTGAAATATTTATACGGCATTCGAAAATTCTGTAGAAGTTATTACTTCCTTCATAATAATTAATTACAGTTCTGAGTATTCAAAATTTTTTACAAAAAACAAAGGAAACTTCAAATTTACAAATCTTCAGAATAACCGAAGAAAACTTTATCAAGTTAGTCATTTGTTGGAATTAAGCAAATGGAAAAACACGGAAAACAATTAAATTTTTATTTCTAATTGAAAAATTAATCAGAAATAAATGATCAAAAAAGTAACATATTTTTATTTCTAACATTTCTGTGAATTAAAAAAGTTGCAATATTAAAACATAATAAAATATTTTTTTAACTGCATATTAAGCACATCTCAATCTATCAACAAATTCGCATCTTTTGACTGCATAAACGATTTATTGAACTGTTAGATCACATATAACTGATGACTAAATAGATCAAATGAAGACATTCAATTTTTGCAATGAACTAACTTAGTTATTATATTTGAATTCGTTTTTGATCCACTGATCAATTATTATAGTTCATATAAGTTTCTGTACTGATTTTATTTTCTTTTGCATTTTTTAATAAAAACATGCTAAATTATCTTGGAACGAAGTGCTACATTTATTAATTTATTATTCGTGTATTTAGACGTTTTAATCTTTTAAATGGCTATCATACGATTATTACCGAAAATATGACTTATATAATTTCCAATTTTAATTTGCATTTACTTCAAAAACAAGTTCTTTTAGTTTCAAAATCACTTTTTTGCTGTCTTTATCGAGCTGTTCTCTCCAAACTTTAATTCTGATTCCCAACAATCAAAATTTTTAAGTTATTGTCTGTCTTTTTTGATCCTTGCAGAAGTTCCAATTCTTAAATTTTATGGCTTAATTTTGAACAATTATTTAATTTTGTATTTTAGTGGCATTGAACATGCATTGAACAGTTGCTAAACTTTACTTTTCCACTTGCCTACAGCTAAAAACAAATTCAACAAACTTCAATGGCTTAGAAGGTAAACTTTTTGAATATTTAGAGCTGATAACTGATTCTTGAAAAAATTATAGCATACTACTATCATGAAAAATGCCTGCTTAAAAATATAGAAAATGAATATATTCTAATAAGTAATTTTCTATACCAGCAAACCTTACAATAAAAAACTATATAAGATTTGAATGGCAATATCTAAAAGTTTAAAAAGATAGAATTGAATGAAGTAGTCTTCAGAAACTAAAGAGATTGGTTCTAGAGTTATATCGTTCTTTTATTACTTAGCTAGTAAAAGTATGAAGTTTACTAGCAGAGATTTGTAATGAAAGATAAAATTTGAAATATAAAAATTTCAAATTTATATAAATGTGATAGACCACTGAAAAACACGCAAATTTTGATAAATGACTGAATGAAATTTAACTTATAGATATCACATGCAACTCTTTATAAACTTTAACAAACATTAAAAAAATGCTTCGAATAAAAGTAAAAAAGTTGAATTATAAGACAAAAAGTATTGAAAGATACTTTGAAATTACTATCAAAAATTCAAATTTGCCATAATTAGCAAATTTTCAGTAAACAGACTTTTTTTCTTGCAAATTATCTCAAAAACAAACTATTTTATCCCAAAATTGCATTTGTAATTAGTGAAAATTATTTTAATATTTCTGTCAAGCACTAATCTAATTCAAAATCATATATTTATAATATATATGTAAGGATTAAGCAACAAAACATGTTTGGAAAATTTTTAAATGAGGCTTCAGACTACATGGAATTACACTCATATTTGATTGCAGAATATCGACAAACACTATCAAATATCCACGTCAAGTTAATGTCATGTTTTTAGCAAAAATAGCTTTTATTACTCAAAAAAAATTTCTGGAAGTAAATTTTCGGATTAATTATATTTTTATAATTGCAATTGTGAACTATTTATTTGGTAATTTAGTTAATTACAAATAATTTATAACAAAAACTAAAAATTTTATTTTTTAGACTTAAAAAAATTTCAAAAGATATCATTTGATAAGTTTAGTCAACAAACGCAACACTAAATATTAACAGCTGAACTTGGCTCATAATAATTAGCTAATAATGATGTGCAAGACAGAAAAACATTAGATTCGATTGTGATATCGTTATGAGCTATTCAGAGAAGAAGTACTGATAGATGAGTTATCAATTACTTCATAAATATATACTGTAATAACTCAGCAAGTTATTACAGTATATAAAAGTACTTCTGAAAAGCTAACTTTAAAGTTTTGTTACAAAATTTAAAGTAATTTAAAATAATGCTTTTTGATTTTGCTAAATGCTTAATTAAACCGTTTATTTTATTCAAAGCATAAAACTAAAAACGAAAGCAATCTTTGCCAAGAGATTGCATCTTTGTTAGAAACATTCTTATACGACGTGTTTTTGTTTGTTTCGACCGTTTTGTTGCATTAGCATTTGTTTTACGTGATCGTCCATCTGAAGGAAACAAAATAATTGGCACGTACTCCTGCAACCAAAATTTTTGCTTATCAAATAAATGATAACGGGAATTTCAATTACTCGAATTTATGTTATTAGCTAATTTTGTTGATTATTTAATAAATTTTAACTTATATATAAAATATATATAGCATGAAAAACTTTTTAAGTTTTCAAATTCATAGCAATATAATACTTAAATAATTACCGTAGACTTTGAAACAACACTTACTCTTTGCTCTAATTTGCATAATAAGCTTGCTAGACTTTTTTTGTTGTTCTCGTCTTTTGCATTTTTATAAAAAATGCAAACAATTCGATATTTTTTTTGATCTTTGCATACTTCAGATTGATTTTTCGACTGAATTTTAGCCTTAGTTTTGCCTTTCAAATCAGGAATATCTACAGACTTATTCTTGACTGTTGGGGACAGTTTTTTTTGAATCAGAATTCCAGGCTGTGACATGGATGTCGATGTGTAGATATTTTGAGTTGAAATACTAGAAGTTGACGCAGACGTGGACGTAGTGATATTTTGAATTGACATTCTAAGTGTTGACGTAGAAATGGAGGTGGTAATATCTTGAATTGGAGTACTATGCGTTGAGATGGACGTAGACGGACTTTCTACAATATCTGTTGATGGGATTTCATCTTGCAATTTGGAATCTTTTTTTGCAGCATCAAAGTGTTCCATTTTCTGGCATTGCTTCTAAAATTTTGTTCAACTTTCACCTTTTTTTCCTAATTGCTTAGTAAGACTTTTTGATACGAACAATACCACACATTTGAGCGATTTTTAATTCGACTTCTAGCATTTTTCAACTGCTACTTGGAACAGTTTAAGACAGTTTTTAAGAATTGAATTTTAGTAGCAATAAGGTGTTACTTCTCGCTCGTCAATATATTGAATTTGCTTCTCGACTGTTTTACAGAAGCTATCATCTTGCTTCTGAGGCAAATTAAGTCTGAGACCATCAAATTGACTCCTCATTTGCGCATTTTCATTCGATTCTAATAACAACTTTTCAGACACTTTTTTCCCACTCAAACTAACCTTAAGAATATTCACAACTATTTATAATAATAACTATTTTCTTTGTGTATTCAGCAAGTCCAACTTTTATGTTATCACATCAAATTTAGTCTTAACAAATCTTTTTTACAGCCATTTTAGCAACAATTTTCTAAATAATTTGGCTTAAAAATAATACTGTCACATAATAATTTT